GCTTCAATAGGCGGAATCTTGGTGAATCCAAGTGGGCAGGTAGTTTCCTTCTTTGGTGCTTACCTACCACAGCCCCTACTTGAAGAATTCTTGGCGAAGTCGAACCATCCAATCTACGAGCTGGAGATTTTCCCTTTGCTGGTCGCGGTCAAGATATGGTCGAAGCATATATTAGGCAAACTTGTAGTCCATTATTTGGACAACGATGCAGCAAGGTCTGCTTTCGTTAGGGCCCATGCCTCGACCGACCTTGGAGCAGCCTTAGTTGCTGAGTATGTTGAATTTGAATACAAATGCCGTTTTTCTCCGTGGTTCGCGAGGGTTGCAAGCCATAGCAACCCTTCGGATGAACCTTCAAGGATGAACTTCGAAGCACCTTGGCTTAGACAAGCAAACCAAGTCGAATTGGTCCTGCCAGAGCACTTGTCACAGTGGGGAATTATCGGGTGCTCTGACACTTAGCATCAAGTCACTTTGTGTCAACGTTTGTCAGTGATGGAATCATGGCCCATCCAACGCACCAGAATCTTACTCAGCTGGAATCATGACCGGCCTTGGATTGACCCCCGACAGTGCAATTACTGGAATCAAAAAGGAAATAATAATAAGTCCGACTGTGGTGCTTTCGCGTTGACTGCGGCATTTTTAATTTGTAGTAAGGTTAGTTTGTGTAAGCAACATACTTACATGGATACGCTTACCTTACTCCAAGTCGATACGCCATATAATTTAATAGATAATTATATGGACGGTAATTCAACATCGAAACTTCCACCACCAATGTGAGTCAATCTCGAGTGATCCTGGTTTTCTGGAGAAATAAGATGTCACTCTTTTGAAAAAAGATGAAAGCCTTATTTCTCCAAACAAAAATTTGTGAAATCTCACAAATAAGGATCAACTTAAACTCTCTTGGTTTGGTGGTAAACAAACATTGTCAAAGGTTGAAACATACAACCAAACTTGGACGCAAACAAGTTGGCGTTTTATTTCAAAATCCATTTTCAATACTCTCGATGTGGTTTTCAACAATTTCATTGAAACAATCCACATCTGTCACATGTCACATCATAGATGGAAATGTGTGGCTGTTCCCAATCAAGTGGTGGGAGGGAGGGGTCCCTTTTAAATAAGGGCAATTTTTGTCACCCACCCTGTTTTTCACTCCCACCCAAAAATTGGGGAAGTATCGGGTGCTCTGACACTTAGCATCAAGTCACTTTGTGTCAACGTTTGTCAGTGATGGAATCATGGCCCATCCAATGCACCAGAATCTTACTCAGCTGGAATCATGACCGGCCTTGGATTGACCCCCGACAGTGCAATTACTGGAATCAAAAAGGAAATAATAATAAGTCCGACTGTGGTGCTTTCGCGTTGACTGCGGCATTTTTAATTTGTAGTAAGGTTAGTTTGTGTAAGCAACATACTTACATGGATACGCTTACCTTACTCCAAGTCGATACGCCATATAATTTAATAGATAATTATATGGACGGTAATTCAACATCGAAACTTCCACCACCAATGTGAGTCAATCTCGAGTGATCCTGGTTTTCTGGAGAAATAAGTAATTGTACTTGTGTGTCTGTCCGCAGACTGGACAGGTTCACTTGTACTGTTGACTTCCACCGGTTAACTTTGTCTTTGCTTTAGTGTTATTGTGTGACTATCCGCAGTGTACTGAGGTGACTAAGGACGGCTGGAGACTGTTGACCCTAGCAATCCACACACACACCCGCCTCTTTGACACCTTCCCCTTCTCTTTGTTCTGTTGGGAGTTGGTTCGTCTCTTAATTCGTTTGTGTTGTTGTTTCGGCTTGACTGTTCTGTTGCTTGGTCCCTCTGGCACTTACTTCTTATTCTGTAAGGGGAGTAGGTTGTAGCCGGCCGGAGCCATGGACCAGGCTGCACTGCAGCGAGTTACACTGGTGCGAACCAGTGGCACTCTCTGCTGGACAGTCTGGAGCGCCCGTACCGTGAGCAGCAAAGCATGTGCACATGGATCGTGAGTTTCTTTCTCGGATCAGCGGTTAATCAGTTGGCCCACTCGTCGGGAGAGTGGTCTTTATTCTGGATTTCAAGCTGACCCTTGGTTTTTGCTATGTTGCAATGCACTGCAGGTACTTTGCGGAGACGAAGACACTCTGTGAGCACCTGAACAGTTCTGCAGATACTTTTCAGTTTGGCGCCGGCGAGGCAATGCATTCTTGTTCGATGTTGAGACGTGACCTGCTGCAAGCATTTCGATAGGCACCACAACCAGGTGCTGACCACGCTTGATAGTGCCTGGAACGATCCTCTCTTTGTTTACTTGGCACGGTAGTCATATCCACCCGGAGGTGCACAAGTTTTTAGTGGCTGGTGACGGATGGTCACTCACCTTGCCTTGTGAGACCGCGCTGTCATTGCCACTGGGCCGCTCCCCGCAATGGGGAGGGGCACAAGACACCTGGCCACACATGTCACCGTCCTCCTGCTGATGCGTACGCCATCTGGTACTTGGTCTTTCTCTGAATTTGGGCACGTGAACAAGTACTTGTGAGTGGACTCTGAGAGGCTGGTTAGTTTACAGTGTATAGTAAACGTGACTATTTGTTGTCTTGCTGGCAACCACGTAGTCGCATGTCTCACGCTTCTGGGTGGCATAATTCGTTTGCTGCAAGTTTTTTGTCCTTTAATGTGACACAGTGGGTTTTTACCACTGTGTCCTTGGCAAATCTTTTGTGGTTTTTCTTGTTGGGCTCTGGCCCCGTTGGCTGTTTGCTTTGCTGTCTTTCGAATGGTGAGACACAAATTTGGCTGGGGGATCTGCGTCTTGCCCTGTTTTTGCTTGTTTGTGTGTTGTTTGTTTTGGCTGTTATGATTTGCCAAGCTTCATGTGACCACCGGCGTCCATGTCGCAGTTTTCTTACCAACAGCTTCGTCTCATGTAAGGACCGAGCCTCAGAGCGTGATCGGCCATACCGGAGGAAAAAAAAATCACAGGCACTCTGGCCCAGCAGGTCTTCTTGGTTTTCTTTTTGGTTTTCCGACCCTTCCCCTGAGATCAGTTTATTCATCCGGATTTCGTTGTGTCTGTTTCCACATGTCGGCATGACGGAACCCTTCGTCAACAAAAAAATTAGATTCTCAAGAGGGACCTCTCTGAACTAAAAAATCTTTTTTTTTTTCGGTTGGCTGTGGTGGAAACCAATTCTTTTAATTTCCTGAACAGTAAGGCCTAATTTCCGATTTTCTGGAGGTGGTGGCTCTGTTTGTGTAGTTTTCTTTTGAGCAAGGAAGGAATACCACCCTCTTTTCAAAGGAATGAACAAATGTATTGCATCCTTTTCAAGGAAACTTGCATAAAGGCATGCTGCACTGTGGTCTCTGAAAGAGCAACTGCTTATTGAAGAATACCCTTTCAAAATATTGCTATATTTTCTGCAAGGAACACCTTACTTCTTCAAATGGCAATTCGATGCATTGCGCTTTCTTACAGGCACATCACCCTCTTTTAAAGGGATTGTTGTATATATGAAAGGGTTCCCTTTTGTACAACAACTTAAATCACACCATACTCAGCCATACTCTTTCACTAGGACTGCTGTGTGTCTTGAAGGCTACTTTCTCAAAGGGATTCTACACACAAACATTCCATATCTCTTTATGTAGGGGGCTCTGTCAGGAAGATGCAGTACTGCTTGGGGACAAAATGAAATCTTCTGTCAATCAAAAGTGCTGTTTCCTCTTGTTCATGCTTGCTATAAAAACCTGCAACATCGAAGCAAACACAACCCTATCATTTGAGCATCGCGCAACAGGGCAAAATTGAATTTTCTCTCTGATATTCACTGGCTAAATGACATAGAACCGTTGATAGCGTTATTTAGTTTCTCGCTGTGCATGTGCAATATGTTTTGTTTCTTGTGACCCAGCTGGATGATTTTTTGAAGTATGCATATATATATATATATCATATAGATGAGATCTTGCAGCAACATCGCTGGCAGATATAAGAGATCTTGATGCAACATCAGTGAAAAAAACGCGCTCTCACAGTCCCCCGCTCTCCTTTTTTTGATAGGGGGAATCTGTTTGATCGTTTTGGGGAATCGTATAAATTGATAAAATATCCATGAGTCCATACAAGATCATACCTGCGTCCTCGAAAAAACACAACTACATGTTCATTTGAAAGATTTCTGCTCTTTGAGCGGTTTTTCTTCACATGAGCGTAATTGCACTGCTTTTGGCATTTTTGCATTTCGGGCATTTTGTAGCAAAACATATGAGCGTATTTTCCCGGGAAAGAAACGTAATTACGCGGGAAAAAACACGTAAACACCTGTCCATCAAGATTCAGAGTGAGCATAAAAAGTCAGAACGAACGTAAAATCCAAGCAAAAACTGTTATGAGCAGAAAACATATTAAGATCCAGGTGTCAGTTCTATAAAGATCCATAGAATTCCTATAAGCCCATAGAACTTCTAAAACACATTCCTTTAAAATTCGTGGGTGAAGCGGAGGTTATGAGCAGCTTCTCCAAGGTTAGGATCTTGAGCACGTGCTGGGCGGGTCCATCAGCCGTGGATGAACAAACCGTGGTTTACTTTTGGAGATTCCATTTCAGTCTATTGCACGTATGTGAGTTTCTGGATCCTGCTGTCAAATCTATAATTATATACTGGAGTCGTTGAAAACCATAGCCTTTAACCGTTACAACCAGAAGGCGATGTCTGCAATGTGGTGGCTCCAAACGCCAAGCCAGATGTAGTCTGGCAGTGGTTCAAACTGCGGCCTGTTTAAAGTCTTACACACTACTGTAGATGATAGAGTTTATATGCAGTGGAGGATTGTAAATCCAACGTAAAACCAGACCCTGAAGTTTCAAGACCTTGCCCCTGTTAGCAAAAAATTCAATCTGTAGTTCATTGGGCCCAAACTACATCTGCAACACATGTTCGATTCCAACTTTGAGCTGCAGCCAAGTGTCTTTCCAAATCCTCCGTGCTTCATGTTGCCATGGATACCATGGATAGTTGGTTTCACTGCCCAAACATGGGCTGCTGCAGAGAGACTACCCTATGAACTGAACCATGAAGTTTCTGTCGCCAAACCGTGGCCCGGCAGGATATAGCGCGAGAATCCTGTGTGTTTTTTATTGAGCGGAAAATGGGTTTTAAACCAGAAACTACATGGGGATAGATTGCATTCAGCAAAAGGACGTTCAGACGGTTGCGCGCTCGTTGCATCCACTTAGCATCGACCTGACAGCACTTTTGGGCACACCACCTTTTGATTGTGGGCGTGTCTGAAAATCGTTGGAAAACCACCAAAATCTCATGTTTGGTATTGTTGTTGAGATTGGTTCATCAGCATTTTTCACATTTTTTTGGGTACAACCAGAATAAACAATAGGTATCCAAAGCATTGGACAACGCCAAACCAAAACTTTGCTCCAGTTTTTGGGGAACCATGGAGACTACACAGGCCGTTCACATTGCAACCCTCACATGCAACTTGGGGAAATCGACATGGCTATCCAGCGCGGAGATTTCATGTAGAATTGGTTTGTGGTTTCGAGTTTTTCCTATTTGGCATGCTTTTCGATCCTAAGTCACGTATTTTTTTTCGGATCAAAACTGTTATCAAAACTGGTTCAAGAGGGATTGGTCAACTTGGAGGTAATTTCAGGGGTTCTTTTGGGCCGCAAACCATGCCCAGATAGAGACTGCTATTAACACCTTGGATTTCCAACATGGAAACCCAAACCTTCTTTGGGGATTGAACGTATATGATTCAGTGACGATTTCGAATGGCCTGGGATGACCACCTTCCAGCAACTTCCCCAATCAGGACACAGGAATGGATCAAAAACCTATCCATAATGAGGGTTTCCTAAAATAAGGCTACCCATCCATTTATAGATGGATTTTCCACTACACACCATCCAGCTATTGGGATACTCCCATGACTTTGGAAACCTCCACCAGCTGCACCCCCAGGAGATGGACCCCTGGCTCCTTCCTGCGACAGAAAGCCCTGGATCCATTAGATGAAGACGACCCGCTTGATAGCTTGTGGGAACAAGATTTCTATGATGGAGAAGATGTTGATGACGAAGAGAAATCAGAGATTCTTGAGGTTCATGAAGATAAGGATAAGGCTCATGCTCTGCGGGGGGAGAAACATCACTGTGACGTGGATGGCCTTCTTCGACTCAATGGAACCATCAACGTGGAAAAGGAACGAATTTACATGAACTGTCGTAGGGTAGTTGCTCAAGAAGGTGTCTTCAATCTGTCTGCGCCTTTGCATTTCTCAGTTCCTTGTCAACTGGTGTCGTTGTTCGTTCAGAGGCTTTGGACAAAGCACTTAGGGGTAGGACTGCAAGGTGCACGATGCACCATATGTTTGTGACGGAACATCAGGTTAAGACAAGAAAGCACACGAACCCCACAAACAAACAACATGTATCAACATCTCACGTTTTTTCGTTTTTTTTTGTACCAGCTTCTCCAGGTTCTTTCTCCCATGTGAAGAAATTTTCGATGCTTCCTTCGTATTTGTTGAATTGTTTTATTTTGCTACACAAGTAGTGTTCTGAGGACTATGTCTTGCAACAGCTACACGAACCAAGAAACACACATTTTTTTTGGGAAAATAACCAATTTGGCGTTTGGCCCAATGGGCTGACAGGTGTTTAGAGCAGCTAAGTGTCGGAAGTGTCATGAAGCAGACTGGACCATGAAAGTTGTTGACCCAAAAAATGTCGTTTCTGAAAGCAGTGAGCAATTAATACGAGAGCAAATCATCGACTGCATTTCTGCACGGATATTCCCGTGGCTTAGGGCAGCCTTGAGTTCGAGGGCAGCCTGACCGTGGTTGCGGTGAAGGCAGGTTTTACCTGCATCATAGTGTCTGGCAACTTGAGAGTCTCTGGCAACATCAGTGTCCAAGGTTGCCAAAGTCGCAGCCAAGGCGGCGCTATATGGAGCAACAATTTCACCATGGAAAGTGGAGACCTGAAGATTCAACACTGTTCTGCTTACGAAGGTGGTGCCATCTATGCCGACCATGTTCAAGTGCATGGGGGAACCATGGAGATCACAAACTGCCAGGCAACATCGGGCGGCGGTATCTATGCTAAGTGGTCTCTCTTGATGGGCGGACGGCTGCGCGCGAATGGCTGCCGCGCACGCGATGGGGGTGCTCTTTACGCTCACCATCATGTTAGGCAGTCCGGTGGCGAGCTGATTTTGCAGAGTTGCGTGGCTAGGCACAACGGAGGTGGCCTCCAGACGCAGCAGTACAGTTTGTCCGATGGTGCTTTGGTGCTGCTTGTACTGCATTTTTTTTGTTTTTTCGGCCCATAGCAGGGAAGATGAACATCCCAATTTGATTGTAGCATATTTTGTTGAATCATTCGTGGCACGTCAGCTAGTCAGGTGACTTTGTGGCTTGCAATTGTAGCGCCAGACGAATCGGGGGCGGTGTTTGGTCCGAAGGCGTCGTCCAGTCTGGTGGCAAATTGGCTTTTGAGATGTGTCAAGCTGGCACGTCTGGAGGTGCGCTTTGCCACGTCAAAGTTGCCTTGTGTGTGAACTCCTTGCAGAAGCCAATAACAAACCATTTAACGGTGGTGGTGAAATTGCAATGTGATGCCAAAGAAAATTACGCCAGCATAGACCCCAGATAGCGCAAGATATCTTTGGGCACCAACCAAACGTTCTCCTTTTTTGATACGACGTATCGATCAGCCCCAACGCCGGCACTGCCCTTGCATCGGCACCAGCACCCACCAAACTCCACAGCGCACTCTCTCAGCTGCACCCTGCAGCAGCACCTTGCAGTGGCACCTCGCAGCAGCATCCTACAGTGGCACCCTGCGCCGCAAACCTGCAGCCGCACCAGCAACCAAGCTCCAAAGCACAAACAGCACTCTGGCAGCAGCACCCTGAAAGCAGCGCCTTGCAGCGGCATGCACCCGCACTGTCAACCGGCGCCAGCAAACAAGCTCCAAGACGCAACCACAGCACTCTGACAGCAGCAGCCCGCAGGGACACCAGCCAAGCCCTACAGCACAACCACAGCACAACCACAGCACTCTGACAGCAGCACTTTGCACCACCACCGTGTAGTGGCACCAGCAACCAAGCTCCAAAGCACAAACAACACTCTGACAGCAGGACCTTGCAGCGGCACCTTGCAGCAACACGCTGCAACGGCACCAGCAACCCAGCTCCAAAGCGAAAACATGCAACTCTGCCGCATACTGGAAGTAAGAACCACAATAGCAATAGCTTCACTATCTGGGGAAAAGCCGACCAACCCTTGATCGAAGGAAGTTTGGAAGTCAAACTTACAACAATATGGACAGATGGAACAGCAGAGGTGGGAAGAGTCAGAGAAGGGAAGAGCAGAAGAGAGAAGATCAGAGAAGAGAAAGAGTCAGAAGAAAGAAGGTGCAGGTGCGCGAAAAGGTAGGAAAGTCGCGAAACAATAATGTTTTTCCAATGATTTGTGGCTCCGGAGGGTCGAAAAGTAGGCTCGCTAAAGCGGCGGGTGCGGAGCCATCTGGCCAGATGAGAGATGAAAAGTTGCACGCCGTTGTGGCGCGAAGCACATTTGCAAGTGAAAAAGCTAAAAGCACCTGACGGTCGGACCACTTTTGGAAGTTGAGATGCCGAAAAAGTGAAAGCCGTTGTGGCGCGAAGCACATTTCGATTTCAAAACGTGCAAAGCACACCAACGTCGGACCACTTTTGAGAGTTGAGATGTCGAAAAAGTGCACGCAGTTGTGGCGCGAATCGCATTTCCAAGTCAAAATGTAGAAAGCACATCATTCTCGGACCACGTTTGGAAGTTGAGATGTCGAAATGGCGGGAAGCACATTTCCAAGTCAAAAGCGTAAAAAACAGATGGGCTCGGAGCACTTTTGAACGTTGTCGTTTCGCCTGGCACGCTCAAGGGATTGTGTCAAAAGTGAGCAAAACGTGATGGTTTTCTAGCATGTCCAAAATCGATGGCAGGCGTGGGGCATTGGAGTGGATCTGGAAAGATGCATTTCGCGTGGCAGAGACATGGTCATCAGAAATGTTAGGAGGTCAGGGCGCTGATTTCCCGAGTAGGGTTGCATTTTGAGCATCAGATCTTCAGTTTTGGGAATATGATTTTGTGTGACAGGTGCAGCACTTTCTATGACCTGGCATCACTTTTTCGTGGCAGGCGCAATACTTTAGAGACGTAGACCGGAAAATCGCAAAACGCATTGGTACGAGGCCGTTAGCTCTGCATTCAACTTTCCATTATTGAAGGAAGTCTCGCAGAATTGCTTCGTTTTTGATATTGTCACCTGGGAAAAATGAGGAAGTCTCGCAGAATTGCTTCGCTTTTGCTCTTGTCAACTTCGAAAACTGAGAAAGTCTCGCAGATTTTTTGCGCAGACGATGTTGTCAAGTTTAGACATTGAGCACGTCACGCAGACTTGCTTCGTTTTTGATGGTATCTCAATTACATTTCCACATGTCACGGGAATTTGTAAGCAAAAATTTGGGGAAGTCTCGCAGAATTGCTTCGTTTTAAAGCTTGCAGATTGCAGATAGGCAGACAGATAGATAGACAACTACAACTACGACTGCCACTACACTACACTACTACTACAAGTACAAATACAAACGTAGTACGCTACATTACACTACACTAATTACACTACCTTACGCTACGCTAATTACATTCAATTCCGCTACACCACACTAATTACACTACAGCAGCAGCAACAACAACAACTACTCCTACTACTACTACTACTCCTACTGCTGCTACTACTACCACAGCTACAACAACAACAATATATATATATATGTATATCAACTACACCACATTGCACTACACCGCACTAATTACACTGCGGTACACCACATCTACAACTACAGATACAAACGCCACTACAGCAACTACAGCAACTACAGCAACTACAGCAACCACAACAACTACAGCAACTACAGCAACTGCAGCAACTACAGCAACTACAGCAACTAAAGCTACTAAAGCTACTACAGCTACTGCAACTACTACAGCTACACTACATTGCATTACACAACACTGCACCACACAACACAACACCACACAACACCACGCAACACCAGACTACATCACACTACACTACACTACACTACGCTACGCTACACTAAGTACATTACATTACGCTACAGCTACAGCTACAACTGCAATTGCAACTACACTTGTAACTACCACCAAATTGCACTACACAATGCTACACTAATTGCACTACAGCATACTACAACTACAACTACACTACCTTACGCTACACTACGCTAGACCACGCTACGCTAGACTACACTACACTAGACTACATTACACTATACCACACTACAGTACGCAACACTACAGTACACGACAATACACTACACTAATTACGTCACACCACAACTACAACTACAACTGCAACTGCACTACACTTACTACACGTTGCAACTACAACTCCACTACGCCACACTACAACTAAAACTACAACTAGATAATGAGAGAAAGAGAGCAAAAGAGAGAAATAGTGAGAGAGATCAATCACCTTTCGATCCATCAGTGGACTCGCTCTGCCATCCGTGATTCACAACAACCAAACTCTCCTATAGGTTTTCTATTCTTGATACTTCCGCCACCGCCTTGTGCGGTACTACTGGTAATTCTCATGTGCAAGGTGCCGCACCTGTTGCCAAATATTCTGGTCCCCCTCATGCCTTAACACACCGCCCTTTGGAAAGTGCTCAGGGGAAAGCAGAAGAGGAATTAAACTTAATGTGCTCGCATGGAGCCTCAAGAACGGGGTAGTCAGCCAGTGGACAGTTGCGCGTGACCCCTTTTGCAGGCGGCATATTTGTTGAGAAACAGTTTCAGCAAGTCAAAGGTCGATTGACGGTTGAAAACTGCAGTTCTGAGCGTGGCGGAGGTGTGATGCTGGGGCGTCCGGTGGATCACGTGACACGGGCAAAGGAGCTCTTTGTTCAATTTCCCTCCGGCGCTGCCACTTTTCGCGGCTGTAGTGCTGTGAATTGGGGTGGATGCATTTTCTCGTGGGGCAGGGTGCGGATGTCAGGCGCACTGGATTTTGTGACTGCGACCTCGCGATATGGTGGAGGAATGTATGTGAACGGGAATGTTGATGCTTCAAGGTCGAACATGTCGTTTTCCAACTGCCGCTCTACTGGCACAGGCGGAGGTGATCAAAATGTTTCAAAATGTGTATAAGTTAAGGGATTGCCCATTCCCGGTATGATTTCATGTTTTAACTTGTTGAGATCTGATCACGACAGAGTGGTTTTCTGTTACGATGGCTATGGTTGAACGGCCCAGGTGCAGCTTTGGTGGCAATTGGAACTGCTCGCCTAGGAAAAGTCTTTGTGATGAAATGCTCCTCTGGTATGCTCTCGGCGGTGCTGTCGGCAGAAGAGGACTTAATTGCTAAAGAAATCATCATCGGGAGCGATACCAAGTCGTCAATCGAAATGAGTGCCGTGGCTGGCGGCTATGCTCAGGTGGGCGACGTTGTGAATTTTCGCATGCTTTTGCAATCTCCTGCAGAATAAATATCTCATTATCATGTATATATATATATATTTTATAGATTCTTCAGTTGTATTCTGTGTTCTCTTCATGCAAGACACAATAAGTTGTACTCTATCTGTGTGTTCAAGATGTCACTTGAAGTCTTTGTGCCTGGCACAAATGACTTTGATGATCCTGGAGTATGTTACATGGCCAGGTCGAATCCATGGTTTGCAACGCAGATCATTGTAAATTGCGAGCAGCTACAGGAGCTTCTCAGCTAAAATCGGTGCCAGGATCAGAACTGAAGATGATGAAAGCTGGGCCGTATGGGGTTGTTTCATCACCATCACAGCCTTTTCGAGGACGTGTGGGTCCAAGAAGCGTCCTGTCTTTCCGTCGTAACGCAGCAAGGAGACCCGCAAGTCTTTCCTACTGTCAGGCACTGCTCTTCCTGAAACTCTTCAAGCTCAGACTTGGGAAGTATTTCAAACCCCTTAAACCTGGCCAACTCAAGGTTTCATATGTCAGTTCAGCTCCCGATTCTGTCAGAAATATCTCAGATATGATGTGGGTCAAATCATCTTTAGACAATGTCCGGCATATCATCTGTACGTAGATATGGCGATTTCTTGTCACAGGTATCTCGGGTACATGTTGGAGGCATGTCAGATTATCTGTGAGATGTGTATGTCAGATTTGTTTTAAAGTTCTGGCTTCTGGCGGATTGAGCCCTTTGAGCCGTTGCGGTGCAGCCAGTTAGAGACACATGTTCAAGTCAAAACCAATACATTAATGCATGAATCTCATCACTTGCTTCACAACAAAGGTCAACCCGTGTGTCAGCCTGTATGTCAGCAGATGCATTAGTCCACGTGTCATCACAATACTAAATTCACCAACATTCATGCCAAACATATGCCAGTGTATGTGTTGGTCTGCCTATGTGCCTGTTGAATCATCCGTGAGCCCCACGTGAGTCGACACATTTTGTGATGCCCCGTCCCCGTGCAATCCTAAGTGACACAATGACATGAGCCATGGCGCCCACGCGTGCCACACAAAATAGTCTTGCACGTTCCGCCGTTGACCCAAAAACGTATTTGTAAATGCACAAAGAAACATGAGGAACATGACACCTTTCCTTCAGTATGTCATGAAATTCAATATCATCTCATTTCATTTCTGCTTTCTTGTTTCCAAATCGCTGGAGGGTACCGGTGCTCCCAGGACGTTCGACTTAGGAACCTCAGATGTCCACTTGGCTCCGGGCGGGATGCTTGGAATGATACTATCATGGTTCACACTTCCCATCATGATAAAAGATGTGGGCACGGGGTATTGTATTGTGGTTTGATCTAGCAATGTGCTCGAGTCTTTGAGTTCGCACGCCCTTTGCTTGCGCTGTTAAAGCGACTGGTAACTTTGCTAGCACGGGCTACCACACCCAACGTCCTCACAGCATTTCAGCAACTGAGGACATCCGCTCATCCAGTACTGTATGTCTCCGATGTCCAGCGAGCATGATGTCATTGACCAACGAAATCAATGCTTCCTGCCAAAAGTGCCCAGATGAAGCAGAAGTTTGCCTCCCGGATCGTCTTAAGATGCTTCCAGGTAGGCACTTCATCGATGGGTTCATTTCGGATTGTAAAAATCAATAGCAATAGGGATATGCATATCATATCATCATATCATCCCACATTCAAGGCATTTCTTTGCCCACTTTGGGTCTTTAAAAACTTGAGATCGGCCTGCTGATTTCGATTGGAATTTGCGTGGCGAATCCCTGAAGGTATGACCGTTGATCCGCAGAACGTTTCAATTGCGTTGCATTGTGCGAATCCTTCTGCCTGTCCCGGTGGCGAACTTGCGGAGCTGCACGTGCCTGAGGATGTGCTTGGCGGCCACGGCAAAATTCACTTGGAGGATCAGGTGGCTGGGCTACAGATTTTCTTGTAGGTTTAGCACCTAAGTCTTTTAGAAAGCTTCAAAATAGTATCTTTCATTTCGAAGACACTTTTAATTTAAAGTTGAAACGTCGGATTTTTGGGCAACATAGCACCTGAGTTCAATCCGGACATGGTGCAAATGTGATCCATCCATGTCCGCAACTGCCGTCACAACACACAAAGGACATGCCCCCATAGGTATCAACCAGTCAATCCATGAACCAGTCCACCAACCACTGGCAGATCACTGCCAGTGATTGATGAACCGATCACACCAGCAATCAGATTATCATCAATTATCCATTGATGTATCAGTTCACCATTTTATTCATCAATCACATCATTGTTTCCCATATCAATGGATTGGTTTAAGGGAAAATTTACAGGAAAGCCCCATGATCTTAATGGGGAAATAACTCTGGTTTCCGGTTAAGATTTTCCCGTGAAAACCACTCCATTGACCATAGGAACTCACCGTTGCTAAAATGGGGTACATATCTATCTCCCATTGCCATGCCGTCGGACGGGCCTGGAAACATAATTTTCTCTCGTCTATAGATAGCCACTCAGGGGGAATACTATGATAGCCATATCATATTTTAAGATATAGCTATATTTTAAGATAGCCACTCAGGGTTTTTTTCTGTTCCCTTTCTTAGACAGCGAGACATATGCTAGTTGGGAGATCTAATCCATGAGTCATAGCTTCAACCTCGGCCAGCTCAGGTGTCGAAGGCTATGTGCCGAGACGGCTATGCTGGGAAAACCTGTGAACAGTGCGTGGGGATGCATGGCATGGCAGATAGCAGTCCTCTGCAGTGTACTCTATGTCCAAAAAACTCCTTCTTCGCATTGACTCAAAGCATTGCTTTTTATGTGTCCAAGGAATTGGGTTGGATTTCTGTGCCGAAAATGCAGATACGTTTCGTTTGGAAAAGAATCATGTAGGCACCTTCAGTCATGGAGTGATGTGTAGGAAATTTTCTGAAACGACCATTTTTGATCGTTTTTGTGGACACATTTTGCAGATCTTTGCTTTCCATTCTTCCCCTCATTCCCTGCAGGATGCGTTTTTGTTCCTATCAGCCACCTTCTCCGCACTGACTGCTGGACAGCAGAAGAAACAGAGTGCGGTCATGATCAATCAGCTGACGCCAGGCAGTCAATAGTTTTTCATCTGCCAGTTTTTTCCCCAACACATGTTCCGTGGAAGCAAAAAACATGCAAAAAGTACTTATCAGTCATTCAATTATGATTCCTTTTTATTCCAATAGGAAAACTATGCACCCCTCATTGAAACATCGACGAACATTTGTCGTTCTGCCATGTTGCTTACTTGCTGGTGCTTTGTCACAACCCAGGATGGCCTTTGCGACAGTTTCCAACATCGTTGTAGGTGGTCTCATGCAAAGCGAATCCTTCGAGCATCTACAAGATGACACGCAACGCCTCATGCGATTTGCTGACGTTGTTGTAGACATTGCTCAAGGACAAGGAGGTGGAGGCATCTCACGAGAGTGCGTCTTGAAAAGCTTGAACTTTCCATCGAGCCTAGGCAGGCTCCACGCTTGAACTGCTTGAAAAGTAGGCCATGTTGAGATAGTTGAAAATGTAGTGCCTCCCAGATGTTCTGTTTGTATCCAGTAATGGCGGTCTTGTAGCCACATCAAGCCAATCCAGCCAACACTGTGCCAAAGATCTCTTCTATACTGTAAAGCCTGGGCTTCTGATAAACTGATGATTTGGGACTGGTTGCCACCCCTAGCTTCCCGATGAACCCACCAACAGGCGACCTCGAGGATTTGATACCATCCATTTTTTTGTTGTTTGGTAATTGCTCCATCCAATCTTGGGCCAAAGAGATTGAAAACCACAGCCCATCTTCGGTTTCCCATCTTCGGTTGCTACGTGACTTAGGGAGTCACCCCGAGAAAAGAAAGGCCTTGGGCCTGCGCAGGTCATTGTCATCTCGCATCCATCATTATGCCAATCCTTCTTATGGCATCCTTGGCCTTCAAAGAACCACGACTGTCTGTGGTGGTTGGAGCCAACGTGTTTCTGCCAGCCTTTACGGCGGCGTTTGGGAAACTCAGAGCTTCAAACCTTCAAACATGTTTTTCGTGCGAAATATCAGCCCCGAACCAACAAACCCTGGCTGATAGTAATTAGGAGGCTTTACTTTACCGAAAAAACATGCCAGATTTGTGTCCATTATTGATGATGTTTTTTTTTGGCCCACGCTCAAAAAATCTGGGAGCATTTGCATACCCAGACTTTCTGCTGTATTAGGAAATACCTCATCGCTTTCCGCACAAAGCCCCAAAGTCAAGGTGGGTCTGGTTGCGGCCGAGTCATTTGGGTTTGTGCAGAAACGGAGGCCACAGTCATGGCATTATTTTCCAATGTAGATTGAGATTTTAAGTAAGAACAAAATAGACTTTATTTATTTTCTTCAAGTGATCCCCACCCTGAACCACTATGCTGACATGGTTTCTGACACACCATCTCTAAGTATCTATATATATATATATACATTGCATATTTATTCTGACGTTCTATCTGACAATATCTGACATTCTTTTTGGCATATACTTTGACATTCTATCTGACATTCTATCTGACATTCTATCTGACATTCTATCTGACTATCCTGACATACTTTCTGCTGGCATGTATTCTGATATTAATTCTGGCACTCTATCTGGCATGCTATCTGACATTCTATCTGGCATCTTTTCAGGCCTTCATTCTGGCATATCTTCTGACATTCTTTCTGGCATTCTATCTGGCATATCTCTGGAGATTCTTTGTGGTTGAAGTCCAGCGGAGAACCCTCTGATCCGGAGCTTGCTGTTTGGGTCCGGCGTGGAACACTGCGATCTAGCGCTTGCAGTTGAGGTTCGGCGGAGGAGGCGGAGGAAGAGGCGGGACAGCTAATGTAAAATCTAAGAACCCTCACCTGACAGGTGGGGAATCAGTAACCTGGGCTCAAGTTGGTGATAGTGGATACCGGGTGAAAGCTCCGAAACATGATGACACGCCATGGGATTTGGCGGTAGCCTTTTTTGGACAGACCGAGCAGCAATCCCATTTTTCAGTGCCCAATCTTATTATCCATTCCATCTAGATTTGATTAGACATTGGTGGATTAATATAGTGGACGCGTTCGGACTCAGTGCCGCTTGACGATCGTGCGCTACAGCATTTACAAATTTACTGCAAGGACACTCTGGCACTACGCGGTCGCACCAGAGAGAGCAGAGCAGAACAGAACAGAAAACAGAAAACAACAACAGCAGACAAACAGAACAGCAAAAATTAGATAGACAAACAGAAAAAACACATGCTCCCATGCTGCAGAAGGAGATGCAAACATGGCCGCATAGACATGTTGATGCAAATCGAAAACCGATAAAGGGATGATTTGTGGTAAAGAAGAAAGGAACAACACATGCAAGAAAAACAAAAGAAAGGAACAAGGGAACAAACAAGAAAACAACGAAGAGAAGAAACAAAAAAAGGAGAAACGAAACGAAGGACAACAATAACAGGACATGGAGGAATCCAACGCCAAGTCACTAAATAAAGAACCGAAGGGCACAACAATTATATTATATAGGAAAAAACGAAACCCTCATCACAGATGGATAGATGGACACATTGATCGGTAGATCGGAAAAAAACAGACAAACAGATAAGCAGCTAAGGTAGTACAGTAGATATAGACAGATGAATCTAGTCGAATCTAGCCATTGACCAATCTTTTTTGGAACACTCTTGGCTGCTCAATGGGCGCAACCCCTGCCTAGATTTCGTACGATTGCCCTGAGGTGGAACGTTGGAGACTCCCTTCCTTCCAGGATTCGCCTTCGACTGGCTGGTCATTTCGGGTGCCATTCTGCTGTGTTTCACCTCTGGAATCTTTGGCTGGGCACAAGTAGTCCTTGCGCACAGAGGCGGGGAGATTTACTGTGGCAATAGGTCAATAGGATCGATAGATATCGATAGGCCATTTTTAGTCAGGATAGGCCATGGAGGCTATTGTGGTTTTGCAGAAATCCATGTTGAAGAAAGGCGAGGAAACGGATGAAACGGATGACACCTGTGATGCAGCGACAGGCGAAGGAACCACGGCACCGAAGTATGTTTTGTACTTGACACAGTCTTACAAGTCCGAATGTTGCGCCTGGGAGATTGAGCGGTTGGTCCGTAAGATGCTCCTGTGCTTGATTACGACATTGCTTCCAGTCACATATTCTCCATCGTGGCAGATGGAATCCGTTTCCTTGGTCCTTATTGCATCCCTCCTCCTTCATTTCATTTTCAAACCGTACAACGTAGACCTCTGGAATGCCACTGAGAGCCTTGCCTCAACTGAGGTACATGTCGGGTCAGGTAAACATAGTTGATACGTGGGAGGTTGTGCTCTTGGTACAAGCGGTCTTATTCAGTGTTGTTCAGAATATGGTTGCTCGTGGGATGCTTGTAGGATGTACGGGACCCAGTTGGGGGCGGTGATTGACAACCACTATAGATGGGATAACACACAGTTGAACATGGGTTCTCAATGGTTATTAATTATTAGCCCCTTTACTAAGTGGGATGCAAATCCAAGTACTGTGTGCATCCCGAATTCACTCTTCATGGGCAACTAGGTCGAACCTTGGCTCCTGTGCAAAGCAGGCTCTCAGCACCTACTTGGGCACAAAACCTCCGCGAAACTTGCCGGCCCAGCTGAGGATTGGGCTCCTGACCCTTGCGCTGGTCTTGACGGGTTTGACCACCACGGTTTTGGCCAACGACTTACATTGGGCGCATTCCTTTGTCACTGGAAGGGTGACCATCGTGCTGGTCATCATGCTGGTGGCGATGATTTGTGGCACCATGGCAATCTTGGTGACTCAGATTCGCTGAGTGGCCAGTTTTTTTGCTTTGTCTGGTGGCTTTAATCCGTTTTGGAGACCTGGAGCTCGAATTTCCTGAGACATTTTTAAGAACATCTATCTTGGGCTCAAGATAGCCTCTGCTTCAGCTAAGCAACATACAATTCCTGGTTTATTCCTGGTTTATTCAAATATGTTCCAATATTGGTTGAACATCTTTTTGCGCCAAATTATTAAGAGTGAGAGTGGGGATGTCCCGGCCAGCTTGGGAGTGCATCCCGGTTAATAGGTAAAGAACAATTCTCCAGTTACGTACGGATTATGCAAGGGTTTGTATAGCGCCTATAAACCACTTACTGGGCCTCGGATGCAGATCCAAGTTGGAGAACGTCTGTCAGGGCCTTCAAGGGCTAAGTTGGTTTCATTTTTATCATTTTTATAGGTTATATATATATATATGCATATATATATATGGTTGTTTATGCTTAAATTACCAGCTTGAACTACCGAAAATCACATCTCTTAGGTGATCGTCAATATCGTGAAGGAACGCCGTTGGAAGCTTGGCCATGGCAATGGACTCGATCATCAAAAACTGGGGATTTGAGAGATGTTGGTGCCGGACAAAAAAGTTCGCCCAAATCTAAACAACACACCCAGATATCAATGGATTGGTTTAGTCGGGAAAATCTTAACCGAAAATCATGGGGCTTTCTGGTTAGAATTTTCCCTTAAACCAATCCATTGAGGATAATATCATATACTTGTCATCTGATGAACAAAAATGCAGGCTATACGCAGCAACTTTGACTTTAGTTTTCAGGGTTTTGGATGGTTTTGGGTTTTCGGGCTTATGGTTTATTGTTTTGGAAAGCAAAAAATCACGCTTGCCCTACTTCCTCATCTCCCCTGGGATCATGATCCCTGAAGTGCCTCGGGGATGGGCCCTGAAGTCAGGAAAGAAGATGAAAGGACCTCGGTATCTGACAGTCCGAAGGCCGCAAGCAGTGCCGAAGATTGATGCAGCGACTGAAAAGATGGGCAGCTTGTGGCAGCGACTGGCAGAAAGGGGGCCTTTCTGAGGGACTTTCAATGTGTAACAGATTTGTATTGAATTGATCTCCGCAACAAGACAATCAATGCCCCAAGATGAATGGTTTCATATTGAAACTATCTGACCAACGAATGTCAACATGGAATGGTCTATTGGTCCAATTCTGGAAGACCGTGGGCCGTGGGTATCCCCCAGTTTGAGATGGAGGCTTCGAACGCGTGTGTTCCGATGCCAAGGGAAGTGTCTCTATGGCAATGTGTGGCTGGTTTGCACGTAGAGCCATTAATAGATATGTGACATGTGTGTATGGATATGTACACTTATACCTTACATTTGATATTTCAAATGTCCGACCATCTTTGTTGCTGCGCACTAAGCTAGTTGTTACAGCAAATCAACAACAAGCGACAAGTGCATCAACTGTTTTGATGCTGCATGCTTGATGCTAGATGTGGGCAGTATGTCAGATCTTGGCTGGTTTCATGATTGAATTCCGGTTGGCTATATCTTCATTTTTGCGGGCTAGACCCAACAGTTGTAGGTCTAAAACCAGACCAATGGTTTAAACAAGAAGTAAATCGGTAGAATCTAATTCTAAAAAAATAATAAAAACACATTTATTTTTTTTTAAACCAATGGATTTTACCCGTTACAAATGACCACGAACTTAGATGATTTCGGAGTCCCCCATTTCAGGAACCCCCATTGTTTTAATGATGCTAGGGAATGGGGGAATGATCCATAAAATTCATAATATTCCGTAATAACTATTAACAATAATCAATTCCCTTCCCTACGTTTAGCACCAGTAAGTATTGCTCAACTTTGTTCCGCCTCATCTGTAGCCATTTTGGCGTCTCTACTATCTGTACCGCGCGAATCGGAGAGCGTGCGGAGTCCTAGTGGGACCAGCCCAAGGTGAAAATGCAGGATTTGACCATCAACATGTGTGAACTCATGGGTTTTTCATGGAATTCGAAGGTATAAATGGAACTGCAGTTCCACATTTAATGAATGGTTTTTCTTTTTTGTCATGGGTTCTCGAGCTATGCCCCTCCAAGTAGATGCGGATCATTGGCGATACCCGGGCACCAAACATTTTTATGGGTATGCCGGGTATGCGCCATGCCCCAGAATCGAGTTCACTCAAATTTGATGGCAATAATTGATAAAAGGCACATATTGGCTCATATTGGGCCATCCAACCAATTTCGCAGCGTGTTGAAAGATGAATGAAATATGGGTTTGTTTTTGGTTGAAACCACCAGCAGTTTGGTGGAGAGAAGGTATTGCCTGTGATGCGACTGGAACCAGAGGTTTGGTGGAAGTGATAAACATTGATAAACTGCGGGATCTGTACCCTAGTTTCAGACAAAGCGGGCTACATGGATTCCATTTTTTTGAAATGAACCTATTTTGGGGAGCCAAATTTGACCACAATACTTTTGTGATGCCTCGAAAGTGGGTCGGTTTGCGGATGGGACAGTGCCCAAAGTGGAAGCAAATGCCTGACTCACAGAGAAGTTGAACAAAGCGGATCTGGGAGGATTCTGTGGCTGCCCATGTGGAAGCATCAGAGACACAACGCCGCATCCAATGGGCAACAGATCCTGCTTGACTTCCAGAAGTATGTCCTTTTTTTTACTTGCTTGTGGCGCGGATATTTACCGACGTGTAGAAATGTTCTTTTGGGCGTCTGTATGACCTATCATTTTTGTTTGGAGTATGTCTGCATGAAGTTTGGGTCCCGCACAGATTGGTGGAATCGTGGGTTGATTTTGTTTTTTTCCCCTCTTGTCCACGATGAGGCTTGACGTTGATATGGCTAAAAGAAGGGAAACCCAAGCATTGACGAAAATTGACGATATTGATCTATGATTTGAAACAAATGACGACTTGGGAGGATGAAACATATTGTTGATGATTATCCGCATTTTTTTTGGTGCTTGGATTGAACAGCTACCGCCATCATAGATGCTCTTTCTGCCCAAGACAATTTTGTGGACAACCCACCATACGGGAAGTCATGGTTGATACCGGGAGTCATTTAACGGTGGGGATTTATTGCAAATTGTTCAGATTATGTAGTTTGGGGGAAGCCAGCAGTATGAGGATAGTGACCATGTCTAGACTTTAATCACAAGCAATTGGACTTGCTGTTGGTAAAAATTACTAATATGTACATCCCAAATAGGTATTTTGACCATGAATCATGGTCATTTTGACCAATTTTGAAACCAATTCATTACCCCAACGAATCAAATACATGCAAATTCTAGTAGAAACATCATTTTCCAAACACATTTTCGGCGTTATTCCATGTTCGATTTATGTCGATTCCCTTGGTGTTCCAAAAATCATCCGTTGGCTCAGCCATCCCTGAAGGACAGCCGCAAGTGAGCCTTTGAAGATAGAATTCTTGATTGGTTCTAACAGGGAGTTATACCACATTTTTTTTGAGATTCAGAAACCAGTGGTCTAGACAGCCATAAATTGGGTATCCAATATCTTTGGGCAAACCCAAGTAGAGCGAATTCCATTTATTCCTGGCTAAATCACTTAGATCCTAATTTTTGTTGGTTAATTCCCCAGGTGCATTAGTAAAAAAATCATTCATCCACCACATTTGTTGGTTAAACCCCCAATTTTTGTTGGAGAAGTCCGAGAAGTCCCCATTTGTGTCGGTCAACCTCCCCCAATTTCTGGACCACCAAACCGGCCACGGCCAAACCTCTGCCTCGAGGAAGTTCGAGCGCCAGTCGCCGCGGACGGCCGTCGGCAGCGTCTGGTCACTAATTGAAGCTGTGACAGGTTCGAGGCACCTGTGGGCAGTGGGTTGTTTTTTGAGCTCGGAGACCCTCCAAAATTAATCTTATCAATATATCCCATAATAAACACTATTCTCTCATATGATCCATACATATCCATACATATTATCCATATGTTAACCATAGTTAGACCCCAAATAACCATCATCTCGATCTTTTCTTCTTTCTGCGAAAATGGATCTTGGAATAGTGGCTTCATGGAAAACTCCGTCATTGTCCCACTTTGGCCAAGGTCAGGTCACATTGCCTTCTGTCATGGCGGGGTGTAGCGAGGATGAACAAAACAAGTACATGCTTCGTCAAACTATGATATGAGAATATGTTAGATAATAATTTTAGGGAACATTATATTGATGTTTTTTTGACATATTTTAAATATTTTGTGACTTTTACCTCCGTTTTGGGCATTCCTATGTGGCAAATGCATCTCTATCAAAGAATCCAGACGCATTGATCCTGTCAGGAGAGACCCCGCTCCCCCCTGTCGATAGTGAGCCGCACTCGTGCCCACGGTTGGTAACCTGGCCTAGTGGCGATGGTGGTGTGGCAGGTGGGGCAGGAACCACACCTGATACTTGGGATTTTCAGCAACAAAAATGGACGGATCCTGGACAACCAACAAAGATGTGTGGATTTACCCTCTGGTGTATGTCAAAATAGCTATTGAACATGGCCATTTATAGTGAGTTTTCCCATTAAACATGGTGATTTTCCATAGTTATGTTAGTTTACCAGAGGGTAAGATGATTTAATCTTTAGGCTTTAGGGAGCTTAACCAACAACAAACTGGGATGTGAACCAACATAAAATGGGCTTCGAACTGCAATAAGCGTCCAAAAATGAGGGGTCCCCATTTTCAGTCAGATCCAAAGATCATATTGTTGCATAGCTATCCGAAATTTATATGATATAGTTATATATATATAAAATAGCCCCGTCATCGATCATATTAATATCTCAATATATATATATGTCATATATATATACATATGTCATATATATATATATATGTACCCCCATATTTTTTGTTAAATCCCCCATCTATTCCATGACTTACTAGCTAAAACCTAGCTACAGATAAGGTTTCACTCTCTCGTGACCTATGGCGGTGCTGTGGATTCCCGTGCGGTGCCCCATGGGGAATCCTTGGGGGAGGTGTCCTTCCGACGTGACGAATGGACGTGTCTAAACCTACGATGAACCACAATAATCTTGGCGTCAATAATCTATAAATGGGGATGTATTGAGGAATATTGGGAATAAACTAGCGAGTTAGCCAACAAGAGTACACCCTCTGGTAATTTCTTTAGTTCGTTGATTTATCCATCAAAAAGGATGATTTTCCATAGCTAGTTTTCCAGAGCGTAACCGCTATTTTCAGGGTAGTATATAAATAAACTATCATGATTCAGCTAGAGATAATGCTATGATTCAGCTAGACTTTTCATGAATGGGCATGTCGTTCCTAGATTTTCATTATTTTGGCATGTCTCTACTTGGTGGTTCATCCCAGTTGGCAAGCGGGTTCTATGTAACCAAAATATACCAAAATTACAACTGGACTAAACACACTTACCCTACTGGATTAGGATTTTCCGCGGGGAAAAAAACTCACTATAACTGGCAGAACTGGACTGTGATCCACCAAGTAGCTCCACCAAATGATGTAAAAATCGGTGTATGAACAGAGCCCTTTTTAGAGGAAATTTCGGATGGTGCATTGCCAGATTTTCCCTTGCCGGGTAGGGTAGTGTAACCCCCAATAGGGGTTTCAGTGGCCATGAAGTCAGCAAAATAAAGCTCAAAAGACATCGAAATCGGTCTTCTAACATGTCTTCCTGGTGCTAAACGCAGGGAATGGATGGGTTGCTGGGGGTTGCTGGGATGATTGTTGATAGTTAGCCAGTGGATCATTCCCGACAATTCCCTTGGCAATTTCTGGGTAGTTCTAGGTTGCATTGGGCCCCTGGACGCTGAAGGCTCAACAAGTGAGTCTCCAGCTGTGCTGGCGTGTGATCGACGTTGAAAATTATCTGACATTATTACTATATGATATCTTTTTTGAATGGATTGACGTCGCCGACTTCACGTTTTCTTTGTTTTTTTCATCCATTCCTGGTCACGCCCCAAGCTGACGGTGGCTGAAAGCGGAACTTTGTTGATTTGTTTATGAAACACACCAATTTTCTGGAGAGAGGTGGCTTGAGATGGGATTCTTCCCGATAAAAGCACCATTTTTCAAGGTCAGATTTCCGGCACCTCCCAGCTTCATGGAGATTCAACCAGTTCGCTGACCCCCTTCCGCCGCGTGGCTTGTAGCGGTCCGGGGCGCTCGCAAGTGGGAACTGCGACCATGGCGTCTTGGCAGTACGGCTGATGGAACAGGTGGTGTGCAAAAAATAGGTACAACATTGTACAACTAGGTACCGATAGGTTGGGTATATAACTTATAAACCTATAGAAACCCCATCAGTTGGGATGTTACAGTAAGCTGGGTCATCAAGGTACAGTCTGATCGTGCACCTTCCAGTGGAAACTTCCGTGGTGTCAATGGAGAGACTTCCACCCATGAAAAACCATGAAAATTGGAGAAATATGTGCAAGCCTTTTGCGTACTGGTACTACAGAATGTATACCTGTGCATATATATATATATATACACATAACTATATATTATATATACATATGCATATATATATATATGCATATGTATATATATATAGTTATGTATATAGATATTGGAATGATATATGTATCAGTCACTGTGGACGAATGTATATGGCGATGTGGATAAAATTGCCCCCTTTTTGGCCAAGAGTCGCAGTGGTTTTCGGAAGCTACGGAGCTATGGGTCTGGTCCCCCAAAAAGTGGTGAGCCAGTTGGAGCTACGAATCGAGTTTTCAAACCAAATAGCTATTGAAAATGGCCATAGAAATAGTGGATTTACCCATTCAAAATGGTGATTTTCCATAGTTATGTTAGTTTACCAAAGTGTAAAACCATTGAAAAACCTGTAAAGCCCTGGATGAAGCCATTTCAAAGGACCACATTTAACGCAAAAAAAATGAATCAGTTTTTGTTTTTCCGAACAACATTTTACAGGAGAAACTGACCCCGGAGGATAAATCAAAGATCTTCACCCCTGAAAGCTTCGCACAGGCCCCGACAAGCGTAGGAAGGACACCTTTCTTAAAATCCTGCACTTGCTACGACAAGTATGGATATATGAATACTATGTATACATATATATATATATATATACATAAATACTCATATGTAAAGTTGTAATCACACAGATATATATATATATATACATAAGTATATAGATAAATATACATATATATATATGTACACATATATACATATATATATATATACACATACATATATACATTATATATATATAGAGATACATATAATATACATATATAGATACATACACATATAGATACATATACATATATAGATACATACACATATAGATACATATACACATATAGATACATATACACATATAGATACATATACCTATATAGATACATACACATATAGATACATACATATACATACATATACATACATACCTACCTACCTACATACATACATACGTACGTACGTACGTACGTACATACATACATACATACGTACATGCTATATATATATTTATGTATACGAAGGAATATGATACATCCTATCTACCCCCCCTGTCCACTGAGGATCTTCCACATACCGTAGAGATGCAGCTGGCACCGCCTGCGCGCGGGACCAGCGTGGCCTGACAGAGATGGAAACGGCCGCCATGCGTTTGCACCGGTCACCCTGGATGTACCGGTCATCAATGGATTATTGGGATATAATCCAATATAATGGGATATAATATACTATAATATGGATATATTGGATTATATAGGATATAGTAATAATCCTATTATAATCCAATATATTGCCTTATATAGCAATAATGGGATATAATAGGATAATATACCATAATATGGATATTCTTCAATGGCCATGACTCAGGAACCTGAATTGGAGGCACCGATTCCATATATGTTTGGCCTATGTTTTAGGCCTATGTAAGGAAATATCCTAGCAAAATATGGCCTTATATGGTACAGTACCTCCATTTTAGGATCCTGAAATTCCCATTGAAATGAGGCATTCACCAGCAAAATGATGTTGAACAATGGGAGATATGACACTAATAACTAGCATGACTGATAGATATTTTTATAGATATTACCCTCTGGTAAACTAACATAACTATGGAAAATCACCATTTTTAATAGGTAAACCATCTATACATGGGCCATTTTCCATGGCTATGTTAAATACCCAGAGGGTATGGGATTTTACGTCCGCATCAAATTTTTGGTGAACTCTGTTTGGCAGAATCCAGGGCTAAAAAAACATTGGCTAATCCCGTTTTTTGGGATCATGTGAAATAGGGATGTTGTGCCACATGAATTTCCCAAAATAGGGATGTAATACGTCTGAATTGGGATTAAGAACTCCCTTTTTAAAAGGGACTTGATATTGCGAAAAATCCATGGTTTGTCGGGCTGAAAAAATCTATGGGATATCCCCTCAGGATTGATCGTCGACAATCAGGCTGTTTCGCGTGAGCGTCATCGCAAAAGTTGGATTGTTTCACGGAAACCGAGGAAAAATTCAGATGACTTTCCCTAGATTTGATGAAGGTTACCCTCTGGTAAACGTTTACATAACTGATGGGAAAGATCCACCATGCTATTAGTGGGAAAATCCACTATTTCGACTGGGCCATTTTCAATAGCAAACTGTTGACATAACCAGAGGGTATTGTTTCTTTTCTGGTGAATCTCAGTTTCTTTTTTGGGATCGGATGATAGATGAATTTTGGAGCAGCAAATCCAACGTTTTCAACCCAAGGTAAAGATGCGGAAAAGCCATGGGTGTTCCGTTTTTGGAGCAGTTTGAAGGATATCTTACGGTATATCCATGTATATCCCATTAAAACCTCCAAAAAAACCATTAAAAAAAAGCATTTTCTTGGATTAATCACCATTCTTGTTGGTTAAATCATCATTAAATCCCTACAAATCACCATTAAGTCCCATCAAATTACCATTTTTGTTGGTGAAGTTCTATGACACCACCATTAAACCATCATTAAACCAGATCAAATTCCATAAAACCATCATTTTGGTTGGTGAAGTCCTATTAAATCCAGCATTTTGGTCACCTTCCCCACCATCTCGCGTACGAATCCGAGGAATCTTGGCCCTCGACCAGCTCCACTCAGAGCACTCAATGTAGCGATGATGAGGCGGGGACCAGGGCAGTTTGATGCACCAAGATGGAGAAAACCGGGAAAAATCATAGAAGAAATATTAAGAAATATACTTTTGCCAGTGAAAACTGGGAGGTTTAGTCGATTTTTTTTGCTGATTTGCATGGGATATTCAAGCGAAAAAGGTTGGTTTTTGGAGAATTGCAGCAACAGCTGGAGATTTTTCACTGGTAAACTTAGTCCTTCGAGCAGCAACAAACTGACATTGAATCATCGAACTTGGTGATTAGAGCAGCAAAGAATTGTGATTGAAGCAACAAATTTGATGATGCGAGCAGCAAGGGATCTGAATTTACCAAGAGTAGGGTTTCGATCAGAAGCAAATCGAGATCGAAGTAAGATTTTTTGCGAAGTAATCTTCAGCAGCAACAAATGTAGATAAAGGTAGCAACATTGTTTATTGCAGGAACAAAAATTGGCTTTTGAACAACCATAATCGGTTGGAAACCCACACTGATTGGGTGAAATAAGCAGGTGATATCAGCGCGAGAAAAGGGGAGACCCACGGTGGTTCTGGGTGAATTTTCCAAATGCTGAGGCGGGTGTTGCTGTTTGATGATTTCATGAATTATCTCCATGCATAATCATAAGTAGACAAACATTTCCTGATTCCATCTTCTCCTCTTCAGGATGACGAGTTACTCTCTATGAACCAATGGTAGTGTTTTTTTCAGCAGACAGGGGGGGTACGTGGCGAACTGGGCACCAGATGCCTTGATGCCAAAGGATGCCAAAGTTGGTGGTTTTAAGCTGACCGCTGTGGCGGGGATTTCTCGACGATTTATTGGGGCGCACGTTAGGTAGGGATGAAGATCTTTGCATTCTGGCCAGTGATTTCAGTTCCATTTCCTTTCCTTGCCGAGATATCGTATTGCTAGTGAATCACCCATCATGTTGCCACACTTGGTGAATCAGCGAATAAAAAACATCATCAAGTTCCAGTAATTTCATTTTTTTTGTGCACATATATACAGTATATATATATACACTATATATATATACTGTATATATATGTATATATGTATGTATGTATGTAATGTAATGAAATGTAATGTAATGTAATGTAATGTAATGTAATGTATGTATATATATATATGTATGTATGTATGTATGTATGTAATGTAATGTATGTATGTATGTATGTATGTATATATATATATGTATGTATATATATATATATACCAGCCACAAAATACCGATATGCACCGTGCATATATGTACTGGTTCAACAGCTTCATCTGCCATCTTCTCGCCGGCCGTCAGGAGGTGCGGCAGCGCAGTTGCTCAGCCAGCCGAAGGCAGAAGCAGATCCGACGGCAAGAGAAGCTGAAGGCCTGGGAACGGCCAGACCATTGGTGAATAAATGGTTAACTTTAGGGAGTTCATAACCAACTATTCACCAATATTGCTGTAACTCCCTAGTGTTATAACATTAGGTGATTAACCAATGACCAGACCATTGTTCTTAACCAACTATTAAGCATTGGTTATAATAACAATAGTTGCTTCATAACAATAGGGAATTTACGTTGATAATAGTTGGTAACCATTTGATAACCTATTGTTTGATAACCATAGCTTTGGTCGATTCTGAAATATCATCTGAAATATCATGATTTTGCTGGGTTTATATATCTAGGTGTATCAGTTCACCTGGCTTTGTTGAAGGGGATTTGGGAAAAAAACACACTGAAACATATCCACCATTTGGGAATCTAGACAAAGGGCATATATTTTGTGTTTTTTTTTGGGGACCCATTAAATTAAGCAAATCGAAGTTCATGATTAATTGAGTAGTGTTCAAAACCCCTGTTGGTTGAAAATTAGTTCGGAGCTTATACTACCCAATATATTGGGGATTACAATAATCTGATAGGGGAATCCCTATGAATCAACCAGTATATTGGAATGACAGAGGATTTTGAACGCTGCTTACTTGAGAATCTTTACTTGGGATATTAGCCAACAATAGGGACAAACAATGGGATTTATACAATGGGGCTATATGGGACTATAAGTATGTAATCGTATTATAAGCAAGATCACTCAAGATCAATGGGTATGAATACCACCACTCATTGGTAATATCGTAGGAGTATGATGATGGATATGATGGGGATATAAATACATATATAAATACATATATAAATACATATATAAATACATATATAAATACATATATATATAGATATACATATTCCAAACAACAAGTAAATGATTTACCAAACAGTATAATGTATTCCAATCATATTCCAATCATATTCCAATCATATTTCAATCATATTCCAATCATTTACATATTACTATTAATGTTGATACATTTTACATATTCCAATCATCATTATTATGAACGATCTACCCCAACGTAACATGTGTTGATTGGTTGACACCGTCCAATGGCCTGCATCGCTGAACAAGTTGGCCTTTTCGCCTTTTTGATTTATGGTGAATAAATGATACTATATATGACAATAGTAACTGGACCTATGACCATTTTCCATAGCTATGTTAGTTTACTGGAGGGTACATCTATAAATAAATGAGTGATATTAGGGATGATATGGTAAATCAACCATTTCTATGGCCATTTTCAATAGCTATGTGGCAGTGTGTCAAAACCTTGTGCCCCTGTAGTTCACATCAAAATAGCTGGGTTAAAATGGATGTGAATATCCACCTAAAAATGGTATTTTCATAGGTATTGATCCATACCTATATTACGTTAACTTTAATTTCTGGCTACATATTTATGGTTAACTTTAAATATTATGGTTTATATTTGATTTATTACGTTAACTTTAAATTATGGCCATGATTGATCAGAAGGTATCATAAACAGGTTAATACTTTTTTAGTCAATGATTTGCCACAGAAAATCATGGTGGAGAATTGCTGTCACAGCAGCTGAATCGATGGAGCATATTTTTAGGTTTGAACCGTTTGTTCCCCATGGGGATGTAGACGATTGAAAAAAACCCGGGAAACATATGTTGAAAGCATCCAAAAAATGTGCTTCAGGTTGAACATGATGATCAACTTCAAAAAAGGGTGTTGAAAGCTTGCGCTCTTGTGACCGTTAAGATGTGTTGGTCAAACCTACCACTCAATGGAGATCATTTACCGAACGGACTTCCACATGGGTTTTCCACATCTTTTTGTATGCTTAGCCTGGGGCTGGGCACCCAACCGTGGGTGTATCCACCAAAATTTCCAGCCGACATCAAGCGACCTCGCCTCAATGAATTGGTTGTGAGATATGCTGCTAGGGATATGGAATACCCTCTGGCTATTTAACATAGCTATTGAAAATGGCCATTTATAGTGGATTTACCTATTGAAAATGGTGATTTTCCATAATTATGTTAGTTTACCGGAGGGTAACCATTATCTAATATGGGACATCAGTCAATAGAAGTGTGTGTTTTTTTTCATCAACAAAGGTTCGGGATATCAGCAAAGTGATAATCTGACATATAGGATTCCCCAAAAAGGTAGCACCAAAAAGGTAGCAACACTTTTTCAGGATGTAGATAATGTTCCCCCTCAAATTTTCCAGCTCCCCCAATTTTTTTTAAAATCTGTTCTTGGGCACCCAGTTCTGTTGCTTCTATGTATATGTCCATCAGTCCATCATGATAATAATAATCATAGTAATCAATATTTGTCAAAGGTGTTTTTGTCCTGCACTCTCCAAAATTGGATGGTCTGCCAGAATTACAGAGCCTTCAATTTATAGGATTATATACACACATATATATATATATACATACGTATACATATATATATATATACATATGATGACTAAGGTTGACTGTACCGTTCCTGTCCGTGCTGCTCAAGTCAATGGTAGCTGGGTTTGGTTGGTTTGAGCAATTTTGGGGGTGGATCACTGTTGCAAACGAGGTCAGTCGATTAGCTTCCTGTCCCTTCTATTGCTCCCCGAGCATTTTGCCTTGGTTGTTGCTTGGACTTGTCATTGGATTTCTTTCAGCCATCTTTCTGACTCTCTGTGTCATCTTGGCTTGGATTTTCCGTGGTGACTTGCTCCGGTTCTGCCATCCTGCACCTTCGTTCCCTGCCAGAAGGTCTAGGCTGTCAGGTTACCTTGAATGAGCAGCCCCTTTTCATCAGCCGAACTTCAGGATTTGATTTCGAAGTTGCATAGGCTTGAGCAGTGGCAGCGTGAGGTAGAGAGTCAGCGAGGCAACCAGCCGGCAAAGGGAGGGTACACTAGAGGTGATCCAAAAGCACGAGCCAGAGCTGCTGGCCCAGTAGGGGCCCAACAGAGTTTTCCTGGAATTCCCCAGTTGGCATCTCTGTGGAAGTTGGAGGAGGAAGCAGGCCCGGAGTTCTCTGGTCCGGCTTTTGGTGCAGTGGAGGAGGGCCCGGGCCCCTTGCCTGACCTGTGTGAAGAGCAGTGTATCTTCATCTCCTTGAATCATCGTGAAGCGCTGCAGAGAGTGCATTTGGCCTATTCTGCCGGGTTTTGGGCTAGGGTTAGTCTGGAAAAGTTCACTGATCAGGTTACTCCCTTGTCCTTCCCTGACACAGCCTCCCACTTCATTGTGCTCCGTGCCTGTGGAATTGGTGGTTACGTGCGTTTTGCATCCCGTGAGCATTTCAACCGGTTGAGGGATCAGATTTTTGCAGGTGGCCTCGTCGCTTTCGGGTTTGAGTCATTTGCTGAGTTGGACGTGTTTTGCCAGGGAGCGAGGATCACCGTGCCTCCTCTCTTTGTGCCATGCTGAGAAAGAATAGGATCCGACCAGCCAGCAGAGGCGATCCGACTCTGATGGTCCTGACCTTGCCAGAGCATGCATCGGCGTTTGGTGATGAGGTTGATGTCTTCGCCATGCCGCTAGAATTTAGACAAGGGGGAATGCTCCTTGCTATCCCAAAGGACACTTTGTCCGCCCAAGCACTTGCAGATGGCCAGTCGGGATCCGAAGAGATCTTATTTGGGCCTAATTCAGTTTTTGCTTCGGACCTTCTTGATGAAGGTGAGGATCTCAACTTCACGGTTCCCGTTGGTGTCGAAGTTGAGGTCTTAGTCGTAGATGTCTCAGATGATGTTTTAGCAATCTGCAGAGAATATGATCCAGTCACTGATACCACAGCCACGATCCTAGGATACTCCCACGAGCATCCGGCCAGCCTTCCCGAACATACTAGGTTGCTTGTCCAGGTGAATAGTTGGCTTCTGTCGCGCACTGACGATCGGACGGGTTTTTATACTGCTCAAGACGACCAGGAACAGGGTCCGAAAGCCAGCAATCCCCCGGGTACCGGGGTGCCACCAGTCAAGAAGCCTGCGACGGCAAAGAGGGTTTCCAATGCAGCCATCGCCGAGCAACTGACTGCTTTGTCTGCCCAACTACAGCTGTTGTCCCAGAGGCAGGATCGTCTAGAGTCGTCTGGTCCTGGGTTTGTAGGTCATGCTCCCAAGCCTTTTGTTGGTCCCACGCCAAAGTTGCCTGCATTGTCGGCACAGATTCAGAACCCAAGCGGCATGTTGCAGACAGGTCAAGCCAAAGTATTGAACCTGATAGGACCTCCCCCTCGGACGCGTGCAGCCCCAGCAGCACCAGGTGCGAACGATGCCGTGCAAGACGAACCTTACGACCCATTGCAGCCTACTGCAGGCGATCCCGAAAGCATAGCCAGTGCCATTGCTCAGCAGAGCACGGCGATAACAGCATTGGTAGCACACCTCACGTCGCAGTCCGGCGATGTGATGGGTCGGGCGATGTGATGGGAGACTTTCTGTCAACAGGGCAGTCATCCAGTACCACAAGAGGCGTTCAAAGAAGAGAGAAAATGCAGAACGACCTTGCGACGGGCAACAGTTGTTACTTCTTCCAACTCATGCAGCAGCTTCACAGGCGTTTGCACCCATCGAAACCTGTTCCACAGCGAGAGGAGGAGTTGCAAGGTCTGTCAGTCCTTCATTACTTGGAACGTCAAGGGGGGTATCGGAATCAGAGAGAAATGGGCTTGGTGGCATGGGTTTTAGGACATGCCTTGGATGCGGCAGCTGCAGGGGACTTTCGACACACGAAAGAAGTCCTGGCTTTGTTGATGGTGGCAGTGGAGCAGTCTGTCCTGGATCGAGGGGATTGGTCCCTCGCCTTCATGCTGACGTTGATGGAGGAGCCGCCTTTACAGATGTTTCAGGAAAGAGCCATGACCCTTGCCCAAAACGCCAAGCCTTTTGGACCTCTAGTACCACCTCAGTGGACCGCAGTCTGCCTCTCTTACTTGAAGGACCTGGAGGTGTTGGCAAACAAGAAGGTCGAGACTGCCAAGCGAGCTGCGAAACCTCCGCCTGCCAACCCATCGGCAGGGAGTACGGGGGAGCCGGAAAAGGAGGAATCTCCGCGGCGCAAGCCGAGGTTCCCGAAGAAACCAAAAGCAAAAGCCCCAGCGGATGCATGAAGAGAGACTCCATCAGGAGTTCCCCTCCGCATGTTGGTAGCATGTACAAAGGTGCCTCTGCCGGTAATGTGGATTTAATTAAAGGTGGACTTTTAGCTGGGCATAATCCCCGTAAATGTCCTAGGTGTAAATCGGCCCTTGATGTATTTCCTTGTAAAGCATGTGGACTTAAATCGGTGGGCTCATCTATGCCTAATGTTCCTGACTCGGCTGTGGACTTCCTTAGCTTTCGCCGTTGGTGTTCATTTTTGGCCGTGTCTGTTCTCAGAACTCGTTCTGCCTTTTCTGTATTCCTTAGAGCAACTTTGCATTTGCCTCGAAGCAGTTTGCTTTCGACATCGCCGGCCTTTCCCCTTCCAGTGCCCTTCCCTGGGGTTTTTGGTAGGATGCCTCCAGGTCTTTCGTCTGCCAAGAGAAACCGTTGCCATTTCAGACGTGCGATGCATATTGTGGTGATGGCTCTTAACTATTGGTGGTCGGGAAGCTGTTCCATCCCTTTGGAGCATCTGGAGAGGACTCCATCCAAGTGCCAACTTGCAATCTTTCGCAGGCTGGCGAGTCTATTGCTGGCTGACGGCCCTGTGGAACCCTTTGAAGTGTTACGCAGTGGTCGGCGTTTTCATTTTTTGATAGCACGTCTTGCAGAATTATCAGAAGCCCCGACAAAGCTTGGTGTAGGAGCTGGCCCTTATGAGAAAGTCTTCCCTGGGCATGATGTCCCACTCAACAATGCACTTTTTGAGGAGCTTGAACCCTACCGAGCTCTTGATGCTGAGCGCTTGAAGGTGGTGGGAAGTGGCCATTTTGATGCGTCTCCCTATTTGTCCCCTGAGCTGTGTGTGGCCTATCGGTATCCGGATGCTCTGTTACTTGATCGCTTGCCCAGTATTCATGAGCTTCCGCAAAAGGCTGATCCAGTTGATGAGGTGGTCAAGTTGGCAAAGATTTGGGACGTTCGTGGCCTTCTCCATATCCATGATGTTGACATCATGCATGAAAGGCGCTTTGAGCTGGTCAGGGTTTTTAATTGCTATAAAAATTCAGCTTGCGACCGCCAGATAGGGGACAGACGTGGTAGGAATGCTGTTGAGGGACGTGTGGTCGGACCTTCATCGAGCCTCCCTACAGGGCCTGACCTTTTAGATTTGAGCTTGGATTGCAAGTCTGAAACCTTGTCCATCATTTGCACGGATAGGCGCGACTTTTACCACCAGTTTGCTACGACTCTGAATAGGACCCTTTCAAACACTGTAGGCCCTACTTTGCCGGTTGAAGCAGTTCGAAATTCTCTGGCCTTTGGAAGATTCCTTGAGTCGAAACGGTCTAGATATGGGTCCAGACTGCAGCAAGGTGATAGGCTTGGTACCTCTGAACGGCAATCCTTTAAGAGATGTCAAAAAGGCACCTGTATGGCAAGTTTCAAAAGTATCTTTCAGGGTGACCATGCTGGAGTAGAAATAGCCACGGCAGCTCATGAAGGTCTTTTGCAGACGGTTGGCCTCCTCTCTGATGAAACGAGGCTCCTTTCCAACAAGCCTTTTACAGGCAACAGTCTGTGCGAGGGCCTGGTCATTGATGATTACTTTGCTGTTGCGGTTGTGCCTCGTTCTCTTTTGGTTCCCAGTCCTGCTGAAGCCTGTTTGCGGTCTAGTAAGAACCTTTATGCCAAGCATGATATTCTGGGGTCAGATGATAAGGACATTATAGGGGCTAGGAAGGCAAAGCTGATTGGTGCAGTGCTGGATGCTTCGCCTAAATGCCAGGATCGTGGGGTCGTGTTGGTTGCAGCTCCGGCTGAGAAAAGATACTCCCTGTCTTGGATTACCCTTCAACTCTGCCAGTTGTCACATACTACTGACTCCTTGCACTTATGCCTTTTGGGGGGTTGGACCTCTGTGCTGATGTTTAGGCGTCCCTTGATGTCCATCCTTTCCAAGTCCTTTCGTCTGGTCTCCATGGATTATTTTGATGCAGCCTGTCCGAAGATGGTCCCGTTGCCGCGTTCAATTGTGAACGAGCTCACCCTGCTTAGCATTTTAGTTCCGCTCTGTACCTCTGACATTGCAGCACCGTTCTGTGACCAGCTTTTTGCAACTGATGCCTCACTACACAAGGGGGCGATTGTGCAAGCCCAAGTGCCACAGACAGTCATCCAGTCGCTTTGGAGGAGCTGTAGGTCGAAGGGTGGATATTCTAAGCTCCTTGATAAGTCCCAGTCGATTTTGTCCAGGTGCTTGGATTTTGAGGAAGAAGAACCAGATCGGAGCGTCTCTGTGAAACGTCCCCTTGCATTCAGGTTCGACTTTGTTGAGGTCTTTGCTGGTGCCGCCACAGTAACATCTAAGGTTGCCCAACTTGGATTTTCGGTGTGCTGCCCCATTGATATCTCCTTTGACCGCGAGCTCGATGTTGCCAATGTCTTTATCATTGAGTGGTTAATTCACCTTGTTAGTAACCATTATGTAAAGGCGGTCATGCTGGAGCCTCCATGCACGACCTTCAGTGTAATGAGAAGGCCACCTTTGAGATCGAAGCAATTTCCTTATGGGTTTAATACACAAGATGAGCAGACTCTCACTGGTACACAGCTTGCCCTCCGGGCACTGCAACTGTTGTTCGTCTGTTTGCGTGCTGGAGTGACGGGAGTCGTTGAAAACCCTTGGTCTTCGAAGATCAAAAATCTCCCACCTTGGAGAGCAATCATGGGCCATGACCATTGCACTATGGTAAGGTGTGACTCGTGTTTTTATGGGAGCCCCCACTTGAAGGCCTTTGTTTTTCTTTGTGCATGGGCGCATACAAGCCCTATTGAGGGACGATGCAAGGGTGATCATGAGCATGTACAGGTGGCGGGCGCACTTACGAAGAAGTCAGCTACTTACGTTGAAGGCCTTGCCTCTGCCCTTGCTGTGGTCATGTCTGAGGGGATCATCCGACTCCGGGATTTTGATTTTGAGAATGTCCCTGAAAAGGTGAGTGGACTTGAGAGCCAACTGGTGAATGAGGTATGCCTTTCCTCAAGTTGGTCGCTGCTTTCCATTTGGGCCTTCCGGGTCTCATCTCACATCAACTTGCTTGAGTTGGGTGCCGTCCTTCGCCTTGTGACTAGACTGGTTAAAAAGGGTAAGAGCCTGCGAGTTGTCATCCTTGTGGATTCCAATGTGGTAAGATGTGCCGCCTCCAAGGGCAGGTCTTCATCCAGAGCCTTGTCGAGACTTCTTTCCCGTCTGGCCGCCTTGAGCGTTGTAGGTGGACTTTTTGTGGTTTTTGGTTTCATTCCTACCAGGTGGAACCCCGCAGACGATCCTACACGTGATGCAATCCTTCGGTCCTCCATCCTGGGCATGGATTTAGCCGCTTGGGATCGCCCTGATTTGTTTCGTCTCTCCTGCTTTCCTCGGTGTCGTCGTTGGTGTTCCAATTGGGTTCGTCTCTGTCTGTTGTGGTCCTGTTTTACTTCGGTGCGCTGACCGCTCCTGCTTTGCCACGCCTCGGTTCCCCTATGGCATGTCTGATCCCTGTGTGCCTACGTTGGACTTTGATTCGACGCTTGGATTTCCAGGTGAAGGGCCATCGACTGACCTCGTTTGTAACAGTAGACCCCTCAGATTTGTGCTTTGGGTAGCCATGAATTCCTCCTGTGCCTGGGCTGTTCTGCAACCTCGAAATCCTGGAGACCTATTTAGACAGTCACAACGCAATGCCAGGCCCCCACTGCAAGAAGGGCGCCCGGTGTTAGGAGTGACTAGTCAGCTAAGGTCTTCCTATATTTCTCAGTTTGAGGAGTGGCTTTTTGGCCATGGTGTACGCCTGGAGGTGCTTCTCGAAAATTCAGCAACCAGGGTCGATGATATCAATCGGTGGTTAGTTAGCTATGGCCGCTGTCTGTATGGAGTGGGGCGACCATATAATCATTTTGCAGAGACTATCAATGCTGTCTCAGCAAAGAAGCCGGCATTGCGCCGACAGCTACAAGAGGCGTGGAACTTAGCCTTTGCTTGGGTGAGAGATGAGCCCACAACTCACCACATAGCGATACCATGGCAGGTGCTTCTGGCTTGTATTTCAGTTTCTTTGATTTGGGGCTGGGTCGACCTAGCAGGGATGCTGGCGCTGACTTGGGGAGCTGTTTTACGAGTTGGAGAATTCTTGAGTGCGACCAGGAAGGATTTGCTTCTACCCTGCGATACAAACTTTACAAATTCTTTTGCTCTTTTGGCTCTTAAGGAGCCCAAAACCAGGTTTACTGCTGCTCGACATCAAAGCGCAAAGTTGGACATACCAGACTTATTACGTGTGGTTCATCTTGCCTTTGCGCGTCTGCAACCTCAACAGAAGCTTTGGCCTCGTTCAGGACAGACACTTCGTTTGCGTTTTAAACAGGTTTTGGAAGAGATTGGAATTCACTCGCAAGTGAGACTCAATGGAAAATCTTTGGATTTGGGTGGACTGAGAGCAGGTGGCGCCACTTGGATGATTCAAGTCACTGAAGATTCCGAATTTGTGCGTAGACGTGGAAGGTGGATAAACAGCAGAGTGATGGAAATTTATTTGCAAGAAATTTCGTGCTTTCAATTTTTATCTGCAATACCTCTCTCCGATCGGCAAAAGGTCTTCAGCTTGTGCAATTTCTTTTTACAAGCTGTTTCAGGTGCTGAGAAGTTTAGTGCTGCAGATATACCACCTACGGTGTGGTACATTTTGTGGAAAAGGACAAGTTAACAGGAACTGGCGGGAAGTATGGGTCCCTTGGAGCTCACCGTTCTTTATGACCATGGAGCTCAAGGTTGTGCAAAGACACTCACGCAGTGCCAGTTGCAAGGAAAAGAGCGAGGTGCTTGAAACCTTGATGACTAAGGTTGACTGTACCGTTCCTGTCCTTGCTGCTCAAGTCAACCCACCCTCTTGGATAACCCGACCCGACTGCAGTCCTTTCACAAAATGGGTCCCTTGGAGCTCACCGTTCTTTATGACCATGGAGCTCAAGGTTGTGCAAAGAC